CCAGGCTCCTGCTGCACAGCCCTTTATAGCCCGCTGCATGCCCACAGAGTTTAGAGGGAACTTAAGAGCAAGTCCCAGGAGGGAAAGAGGGAGAGTCTCTTTGATTCCTTTGTAGGAGGGGAAGCATCATGCTCGGCGTTGGTGAGGTTGAGACCGGCTCCTGCACTGCAGCTGAAGGCAACACTTCTTCAGGAAGCAAACAGGATGGGGTGCCTGTCAGTGAGAGAAGAGTCCAGGTTGTTAGCTGCCAGCACATTGCACCTGAACAAGGGATAGTTCCCACTCTGGTGAGCATAGAGAGATGTGTCCTAAAGGGGGGCCCAGAGGAAGAAACTGGGAAAGGAATAGTGGGAGTACATGATGGTCTCCTCACTGGTCACTTGAGAGAGAAAGCCCAGGACAGAATGGCTGAGTCAGCATCTGTACATCCAGGCACTCAGCCCATGACCCAGGTTTTGAGAGCGAACTGTGTAACTGCTCTCTCGGAGTAGAGCAGTCACACAGCTGACCACTCGGGGATGGAAAAAGGGGTGACAGAGGGTACCCCAATCCAGGTCCCAGTTATTCAGGACATGGGGCCTGATATGCTTGTGGAATTAATGGTATCTCTTTGAGACAGGATGCAGATTCTACTGAAGAAATGGATGTCTCTGAGAATGCAAGCGACTCAGCTGGAAGAGGGCAAGAGGGCTTTCCCTGGGCTGGTAAGCCACAGAAAGCAGCTGAAGGAAAGCTGCTGAGAAAAGGTGCATCTGACCAAAAAGTAGACACTCTTCACCAGAGAGCACAGATCGGAACCCTACAAGAAAAAAGGTGGGTGAAGGCCCCGGTGTTGGGAATGGAGTAACAGGGTAACCCCAAAAGAAGAGGTGTATTTTTGAACATACAAAACCCTGGGGTTGGGGGACAGCTCCACAGAGAGCGCTCCAATATGCAGAATCCCTCTAGATCCTGACCTCACCAGATCCTGTTGTACCAGAGCCCCAAAAATACCATTGGATTGAGCACCCACACTTAAGGGAAAACAAAAACAGTAACTGAACACCTGCTAAGTTTCAGGAGGGAGCTGGTAGACACAATGGGGATTGAGCAAACCAGACTGTGTAAACAGAAGGAGTGATATGATAAAAATACTTGGAAACGCCTACCTGCGGTGAAGTGTTAAGTGTTATTGTTATATCTCATGATAAGAAGTTTGATGCTAATGGTTAACCTTATGACAGAGAATTTAGTACTGATGATAAATCCTATGAAACAGTGTAACATGCATGATTTTTTTAATAAGTTTTTGGACATGCTAGGAGGGGTAAATAAGAACACACCACGTATTAAGAAACCTTTTGGGAATGCTACTTCTCAGCTAACACCTGTAAACACGCTTGAAGCTTGTCACAGCAGAGAAACCATAATAAACCTGGTCTGCTGTGTGGAAGGGGAAACTGAGGCATGTCACCTAAGGACATAGATGTCTAAATGCCAAGATACCTACACTTTAGAAAACATTAATATATGCACTGAGTTAACATCACTTAGAACAGAAGAAGGGTTAGCAATGTTGCATATTTACAAAGAGATGGTTGCTAGTAACCCAGAGAAGGCACACTGGCTAACTTTTGAGCTCACTAGACTGATCCACAAAGGGTTAAAAGGTACACCAAAGTTTGCAAGAGCTCATGTGGTTAACACAACAATGTTTAGCAACACTTGGGAGTTGCATGGTCAAAACCGGAAAAGGATCTGGGGCCCACTTCCTCCACATTAGTCAGCGCCTAACACTCCTGCAGTAAACTAAGTGGGGACGTGTGACACTCTGTACTTCAAAGTAGCACCTGGAACCTCCATATTCACCACTGTCAACAATTATGATATTTTTGTACAAAGTGTGCCTTGTGAAGTATCATTTTAAGTATTGATCTGCTAAACATTAATATTCTGTTGATTTGTATGTTGCGAAGGAGTCACAGGTCCGATGCTCTGGAACTGCTCTGTATGAAGCCAGCCAGGACTCTGGGTAGTGTGACTCCCTCGGGGCAGGCTGTCCAGGGCAAAAAGCCTCCTTGGCTACAGCCTTCCTGGTCTGATCTTGGAGCATTCAGCATCCCTGTTCACATCTCACACTGCCCCTTGGTGGATCCACCTGGAAAGGATCCCTGGGGAAGCCAGAGGGCCTTGCACCCCAACTCCGCAGTCAGTTGTGACTCTCAGCCAGTGTTGTAAAACAGAAGTTTTGTTAGTCGACAGGAACACACCGTAGAACAGAGCTTGTTAGCACAGAAATCAGTGACTTTTAGCAAAGTCCATCTTGGGGCGACCCCAGGCCAGATACCCTGGACTCCCCTCTCTAAGTCCCAAACAGGAGACTGCCCAGCTTCCAGTGACCCGACCTTCAACACACCCGTTGCTTCTCCTCCTGGTCCTTGTCTCACTTCCCAGGTAAAGTGTCACTTGGTTGCATCCCCCTCCTGTGTCTCAGGTTACGAAGGGCACTGTCCATCACTTAGGTACAGGGAGGTGGAGTCGTCTCACCTGCCCCTGAGGGTCTTAGCAAAATCACGCACCCTTATTTCCACCACCTAGGCATTGGTGCAATACACAGGGGAACTGAGGCATTCACAGTATTCATGCATAACAGTAAGACTCATATAGTCTCACATACAATATAATAATGGGGAGAAATCCACTTTGTCACATATGTGCTAGTGTTGTATGTGGAGTTATGAAGTATTCTGTATGTGTTACTGAAATATGTTGTGAGTTGGGAACACGCACAGCGAGCCTTTTCAGTTACAACAAAGGAGTAGCCATTAATAGCCAGATGGTGTTAATGGCTCATCAACACCCAATCCACTATCCCAGAGGCTTCTAGGAGAAGGCACGTACACCATGGGGGCCGACTAACCCACATCACAGCAAAGATCTTTCCAGCACGCTGGAAATAAAGGATAAAAGAGAGGAAGTGACATCATGACTTGGCCTCTAGGCCCCAATCTCAACACCTGTAAGAAAGTCTGGAAAACAAAGACTTTGAATGGGGGACGGGTGGTCCTAGGCTGGAAAAGAGTCCCAGTCTGTGTATTGAAGATCTGTGACCTGTTTGTACCCTCTGTCAGGGTGTGACATGGCTTGATTCAAATCCTATTTAATTTGTACAACTCAGACTGTGAATTTATTTTTATTTCTTAAGGAACCAACTTTGAGCTCTGCACTTGCTACTTATAAGCACTTAAAAACTATCTTTCTGTAGCTAAAAATCTTATTTTAATGTTTTATCCTTACCAGTGAGTTTGTCTAAAGTGCTGGGGAAATCTGTTCAGGTTACAAAGGCTGGTGCTCGTCCACTTTCATTTGAAAAAGTGGCATACTAGGTAATGAGCTTACCCTGGCCCGGCTTCTGACCAGTGCAAGATGGTGCAGTTTTAGGGTGCAAGACTGGGGAGCTGGGGGAATTGGCTGGAGCCTCCCTTTTGTTAGTTCATGAGTGGCTGGGAGAGCATCCATGTACCTCAGTTGGGTGTGTCCCTGCCTGTGGATGGCTGTGTCAGTGCAGTGCTTGCCAGAGGCTTGTAGCTCGACATCAGCATCACAGTGTGAGAGGCAGCCTAGGTTGGTGGGACAGAGGGCTCAGTGGTCCCACAGTCGAGGTTGCACCCCGGGGATCCTGACACAGAAGGCATTTGCCAAACTGCCACATGACTTTCGGATTGAGAAACTGTAACATCAACGTGGCCCATGTGAAACAGGTTAAAAACTGGTTTGCCAACTGAGCGCAAAATGCAATGTCTTGCCACCCTCTCGCCAGATTCACCTCTGAACTCTGGGTCTGCACTGACCAAGGAGAACAACTGTGAGTGGGATGCAGTGACCTGGGAGTTGCATGGTCAAAACCTAAAAAGGACTTTGGGCCCACTTCCTCCGCATTATTCAGTTACTAACACTCTTGTAATAAACGAAGGGGGGAGGTGTGACACTCTGTACCTCAGAATAGCACCCTGGAACTCACATAATGTCCACTGGCTTGTAATTATGATATCTTTTGTTCAAAGTGTGCCTTGAAAGGTATCATTTTAAAAGTCTGGATCTGTTGAACATTAATATCCTGTTGGATTGTATGTGCTGTCATTGTATGTGAAGTTATGAAATATTTCTGTACGAGTTACTGAAATATGTTGTGATGTTGGGAACAATGAGCCTTTCAGTTACAACAAAGGAGTAGCCGTCACTGGCCAGATGGTGTTAATGGCTCATCAACACACAAGCCACTATCACAGAAGTTTTTCTGAGAAGGCATGTATGCCATGGGGGTGGACTGACCCACATTGCAGCATAGACCTTTCCAGCAAGCTGGAAAGAATGTATCAAAGAGGGTAAGTGACATTGTCGCTTGCCGTCCCCCCACCATCCAAACACCTGGAAAGACGTCTGAAAAACAAAGACTTTGAACTGGGTAAGGGTGGTCCCAGGCTGCAAAAGAGACTCAGCCTGTGTATTGAGGACCTGTAACCTGCTTGTACCATCTGTCAGGATGAGAAACTGCTTGATTCAAATCCTGTTTAGTTTCCTTACCAGTGAATTTATCCCCCATGGGTACATCTTTTCCCATTATCTTGTGGCATAGGGTCATTCTTTGGTCACTTACTGATGTCAAGCATTGCTTAAGCCTATGGCCTAATATGGCTAAGCTAAAATCTTACAGGCCTCAGCCTGTAGGCCTTGCGTTTGAGACCTCCTTATTTAGATACCTAATACCTAATTATCACTTCGACGACTGATCAATCTTATACTTCTATAATGCTACAACTTAACTCTACTGAGCATAGAAAGATTATGTACGGCATAACACGTTTATTAATCATAACATCACACAAGAAATGAGCAAAAAACTAAAATCATTGGCTACACATCTATCCATCCATCCATCCATCTACAATAGGCAGCCAGCCAGCCATCGCTCTGCAATACCCATCTATCTCTCCACTCACACTAGAGATGGACACTCCCCTCTAAGGCTTCAGCTTGCGCAGAGTTTTCTTGATCCAGCATACGTATTTGGAGAGCTTGGTAAACACACTGGGAGTTGACCCGTCACCAGTGCCATGGGAGACAATGCCAGTAGCCTTCCCATCACAGACAAGGGGGCCCCCGGAGTCACCCTGAAAAGCAAACACCAGGTGCAGGGTTACCGATGACCAAGCAAAGGGCCAGCTGCATTCTGTATCCATGGTCCTGAAATTCAGCTCTGTATCCCCTTTCCTGGGGACTCACAATCAAGTTACTCCCAGGACCCACCTAGGGCTTCCACCCCAGGGAGCCAGCCAGCCCCATACCTGATTTCTAGGATCTGGCCAGTTCCGGTGTCTGATTTCTAGAATCCATCCCCAATGTCTTTAACCTGCTCAGTTCCCTCCCCTGATTCCGAATCTTGATATCCAGCATCTGGCTGACTCCTGCCCTTGATTTCTGTATTTTCTGCTGATTTCTCAGATCGAAGCCTGGGTTCTTTATTCAGCAATTCCCCTCTCTGACTCCTAGGATCCATCTGATTCCCAACCCTGATTTCTGGGATCTATCTCTCACTATTAAGATCCATCCCTGATTTCTAGGATGTGGTTGATTCTTGTCCCTGATTTCTAGAACCTGTTGAACATCAGATGATTTCTGTCCCTGATTTCTGGGATCTAGCCAGTTCCCAAATTATTAGGATACATTCCTCATTTGAAAGATCTGCCTGGTTCTTGTCCCTGATTTCTAGCCTCCATTCCTGATTCCTAGGATCTGGCCAATTCTGACTCCTGGTTCTCAGGATCTGCCTGGCTCACCATGGATCCTGACTCTCCCCATTCTGCCGAGACCTATCGGTCTCCTGTTCTAGCAGCACCTTGGGGCACCACGTGTCCCTGTCCCACACTCACCAGGAATGGTGCCTTCCTCTCCTGGGGGTCCCCCACGCACAGCATTCTGGACGGGACATAGTGCAGATAGGGCCGAGACAGACACATACATTTCCCCATGACCATCAGTTCCACCTCTTGCAGGGTTGGGGAGGGCTGGGCATTTGTTTTCATACTGGTCTGGCCCCAGCCAGCCACGCTGCACACTGTCCCCTTCTTCACCGTCTCCTGGGACAGGGAGATGGTGCCCACAGTCTGGGTCATCTTGGCCTTATTCCTCAGCTGTGATGCAGGGGAGAGAGAGAAGGGAAAGCAAACTCCTATTTGAGGATCGATCAGTCATGGGGGGATGGGGTTAGATGGGACCGGGTGGGGCATCCCTATGAGAACTGTGCAAATCTGTGATGCCCACTCAGAGCTTGGTGCTGGGATGGGGGAGGTACCTGCAGCAGTGTGAGGTCACTGGGGGTGAGGTGATGGGATATGGGTGGTACATGCAGCAGTGGGAATTCACTGGGGGTGGGGGTGGCATTATGCCCCATATTATTCATAGTAATATTATGATATTAGTATGGCACAATTATGAAGTATCTTGTGCAAGATAAGGCATGTGAAATATCATTGGAAAGGTTATGATTTACTAAACATGATTATCATATTTGTATGCATGTATCATTTTTGTATCTGAAGTTAGAAATATTGTCTATGCACCTATTACAAATGCGTTTACACCTGGGGAACACCCATTAGACAGAATGCAATCAGTCTAGATTGCTGGCTGGTAAATTCTTAGAAGAAGCTAATCTCTCACCAGGGAGCCTTCCTAGGCAAGCCTTCCTGGGAACACTGCAAAGAGTCTTTATGTTATGGCTGCAGGATCATGTGATCAAGCCACCTGGTACTGGACTCCATGATAATATCAGTATTTTTCCACTGTCCAGGGGTGGGAATCACACTGGAAGACAAAGGATTCCCGCCATATGTAAAACTTATTGAACGTAGGGAAGTGACGTAATCATGGTTCTTTCTTCACTGAATCCCCGTCCAGGATGACTGCTGTAAACATCTGAGAAACATAGACTGCATGAGGGCCGAAGGACTGAGCTCAGGCTGGAAGGCTGTGTAGCCTGTGAATGAAATATCTGAAGTTTTAAGCTGCAGGCAAATGCAACTGGCCTTCAAGAATCTCTGCAATCTGCCTAAAACAACATTTAGGGTTGGAATTTGCTACTTGTAACCAGTTTCTTTAGTATATTAAGCTTAGATTGTGTATTTGTCTTATTTGCTAGGTAATCTACTTTGATCTGTTTGCTATACCTTATAATCACCTAAAATCTATCTTTTGTATTTTATAAACTAGTTTTGTTTTGTCTAAAACCAGTCTGTGTGTGGAAATTATAACTTGGGGCTGAAAGCTGTGCATGTGCCACTCCACATTGAGGGAGGGGGTGGATTTCATGAGCTTACATCGGTGTTCTTCACTGCAAGGCCCTGCAAGCCAGTGGCCGCTCCCATGGACCCATTGTGTGGCTCCCTGATCTCTGGCGGGTGGGGCTGCCGCTAAGGCACTGGCAGGATCTCTGCCTGCCCCAGCCGCATGCCACTCCCAGAAGCAGCCAGCACCCCCCTGCGGCCCCGCTGGGGGGAGAAGAGGTTCTCATACGCTGCTCCTGTCTGCAAGCACCGCCCTCGAGCTCCCATTGGCCGGGAATGAGGAACTGTGGCCAGTGGGAGTTGCGGGGATGATGCTTTGCAGAGAGGGGCATCTGGGTTGCATTGGCCCCTTCTGGAAGTGGCGCTGGGCCGGGGGGCCCTGAAGTAAGTGCTGCCTCCTCCTGGCCCCAGCATCTCATACCCCCTTCTGCACCCCAAACCCATGCCCCAGCACTTAGTCTGTACCCCATACCCCTCCTGGAGCCAGCCCCTCATACCCCATCCTGCACCCCATCCCCCCCCCCAGAGCCAGCACCCCATACCCCCTCTTGCACCCCAACACTGTGCCCTAGTCTGGAGTTTCCTCCTGCACCTAAACTTCCTCCAGAGCTTGAACCCTCCCCCTCCTCCACCCCAACCCCCTGCCCCAGCTCAACCCAGAGCCCCCTCCCACATTGTGAACCCCTCAGCCCCAGCCAAAGCCCACATCCCCTCCTACATCCTAACACACTGCCCCAGCCCTGAGCCCGCTCCTGCACTCCAACCTTCTTGGCTCCAGCTCAAAGCTCCCTCCTGCACCCCAAAGCCCTCAGCCCTGGCCCCACCCTGGAACCCTGCTCCCATACCCCATACCCCTGCCCCAGCCCAGTGAAAGTGAGTGAGGGTGGGGGAGAGGGAGGGAGGGGGTGGAGTGAGCTGGGTGGGGCTTTGGTGGTGGCTCTCACATTGAAGGTTTTTTGCTAAAGTGGCCCCCTTCCCATGCAGGGGCTGATCTCAGCATCGGTGTCAAGCTGCAGCTGGATGGGTCCCTACCAGTATCTATGATGGAGGGGGCGTGAGAGCCTCTTGTAGCAGTACAGTGTAAAGGGAGCCCAGGCTGGTGGTCAGGAAGGCTCAGTGGTAACCCAGTTCGAAGTACGGATGAAAGTATCAGTTAGAAAAGTTAACCAGTTAAATGATTAAAATTATATCGGTTAACCGGTTAACCATTAACCTAAGTCAATGAACGGGCTGGGGTCCTGCTGGAGCTGTGGGGCTGGGTCCTGCCGGCATGGTCGGAGCTCCTCCAACCCGCCCAGGCCACTGCAGACGGAGTCCCGCCGGCCAGCTCGCCAGGGCTGGGGCCACTCCAGCCCGACTGGCCCGAGGTCCCACCAGCCCACCCGCCCTGCCCGGGGATCGCTCTGACCCGCCATGGCTGGGGGCCGGCCAGGGTCCCACCTGCCTGCGAGGGCTGGGGTCCTGCCTGCTGGCTGGGGTCCCACTCAATGTGGCTGGGACCCCTCCGGCCTGTCATGGCCGGGGCTGCTCAAGCCCAGCCACCCGGCTTGGCCAAGATTGGGGTTGCTGTCCTGCCCACCCGCCCGCCGCAGTCGGGGTCCCACAGCTGGGACCGTGCCGGGGCTGAGGTCTTCTGTCTGGCCCACCCACTGTGGCCTGGGCTCCACCTGCCCAGGGGGCTGGAGTCCTTCTGGCCAGCCTGCCGAATATGACGAATATGACAGGGGCTGCTAGGGGTTAATGATTAAGGTCTGGTTATCCAGTAAGCCTAATGCTAATGTTAACTGATTAACTAGTTAACCGATTAACCAGTTAACCTTTTACATCCCTAGTTTCAAGCGGCATCCCAGGAGGAACCCATCACAGTGGGGTGATGGGATGGGGGCAGTACCTGCAGCAGTGTGAGGTCAGTGGGGTCAGGGGTGAGATGGGGGTGGTACCTGCAGCAGCATGATGTCATTTTCAAATGTCTCGTCATTGAATTCAGGGTGGGGGATTCGGCGACGTACCCAAATCTTCTGCCTCCCCAGTTCATCTATTGCAAAGTTGTGGGCCCCCAGCAACACAGAGATGTTACTGTGAAATACAAGGGGATGCAGGTTCTCAGACAGGACAATATTCTGGATTCAGTCATGGGTCGCTAACTGTGTTAAAGTGGGTGTGTGTAGATGCTGCCTGGCACTCAGGTCAATGTTCAGAAGCCAGCACTCCAGGGCCTTTCCCCTACTGGGTGGGGGGCAGCTTTGATGTGGCCCAAGGTTAGGAGAGTGGCTGGCTCCTGGACAGGGGATCTTGTATTTCTTACCCCAGGTTGCAGTTACAATGAGCTGCTGTCACCACCACGTCGTCCTGGATCAGGAACCCTCCACACATGCTTCCTCCTTTTCCTTCTCTCTCTATTTTCACAAAGGCCATGTAGGGTCTGGAGTGAGGCCGGGCTTCCTGTCCCCCAATGATCTCCCCTGGCAGAGATACCAAGAGAAGGAGTTAGTTCAGGCCCCCAGCCAGCCAGCTGGTGTACCCGTCTGCTAACTGAGATCAGGGCCTCAATTGTCCTCAGCGTGCACAGACCCCATCGAGATCAGGGCCCTGTTGTGCCGAGTGTTGTGCAAAAACCAACTGAGATCAGACCCCCATCCTGCCCAGGCACTGCAGAGAAACAGAGTGAGAATCCCTGCTCCAGAGAGTTTACGCAGACACAGGACGGATCCTCATCCCCATTTCACACACTGGGAAATCCAGGTACAATGAGGAAAAGTGACTCACTCCAGATAACTGGTGCAGTGTGCAGTAGAATTGGAAAAAGAACCCAGGAGTCCCGGCTCCCAACCCCCTCTGTTCTAACCACACAGGCTGCACAGCTCTACATTTCCTGTCTAGGAGTTGACCGTCCACATCAGCCCTTATTGAGTTTCTGTGTGCCAACTCCCTTTCAGGGGATTTATTGCGGTAGCATCAACCCCCCCCCCTGCCCCTTTAGCTCCATGCCCATCTGTTCCCAGACCCCCCAGACCCCCAGCTGGGTCCTGGGCACCAATACCGGGTCTGGGGCACCTCAGCTTTGTCCTGGGCACACACACACTGATAACTGCCCCCAGACCCCTCAGCCCTGAGGCTCGCCAGTTGGGCCCTGGGCAAACACTGATAGCCCCCCAGACCCCACAACACTCCCGCTGGGTGCTGGGGACTCACTGATGGAAGCATCTGACTCTGGGGAGGAGCCCGAGTTTGCAGACAGCTCCGATAGCACCAGGCTCTGCTCCCTATTAGGCTGAGTGGCCTATCCCCTCCTGTACTCACCAGCCTGAGCCCCAGGGGGCAAGAAAAAGGCCATGGGGAACAGCAGCAGCAGCAGCATCCTCAGAGGGAGTCTGGGGAAGGAGACGGATGCGTCTGCCTCTGGAGTCACTTATCAGACTGGCCAGGAGAAAAGGAGAGGGAGGGGCTGGGCTCCCCCAAGTGACGTTTGGCTCAGAGCAAACCGCAACCTCTCGATCCTGCCAGGGAGGAGTTCACACTTAGGGTAAGGCAGTCACCAGCCACCCTGCAGAGCTAGCAGACAGCAACCCTTGGAATGTGCATATCTGGGGCCTTGCACCCCTTTGGGCTGCGCACATGTGGCCCTGCACACCCTGGCGGCTGAGTAGATATAGGGTCTTGCATCCCTGGGGGGCTGTGCACACCTGGGGCTCTTCAGCCCTTGGGGCTGTGCACATATGACTTTCTGCTCCCCTGGGACTGTTCACATCTGGGGCCCTGCACCCTCGGGCTATTCATACCTGGGGCCCTGCACCCCTGGAGGCTGTGCACATCTGGGCCCCTTACCCCTCGGGCTATTCATATCTGGGGCCCTGCACCCCTGGAGGCTGTGCACATCTGGGGTCCCTTACCCCTTGGGCTATTCATATCTGGGGCCCTGCACCCCTGGAGACTGTGCACATCTGGAGCCACTATGCCCCCTCCCCTCATCAACTTGAGCCCTGTGAAGCAGGAGTAGAAGCAGCACTGTCATGGCCCAGTTTGGGAGGGGGCATCTGCCTGGGAGGTGGGTTACAGGCCTGGAGGGGCAGTGCAGATGCAAGACAGGAAACTTCAGGGCCATGCGCTCCAGTGTGGGTGGGGGACCTGCTGTCTTAGCGCTTGGACTAAGGATGTAAAAATTGCTGTAAAAAGTTAACCAGTTAAACGATTAAAATTATATCGTTTAACTGGTTAACCGTTAACTGAGGTGGGCTGGGGAGAAAGGGAATGGGGACCCACCGGGGTGGCTGGAACTGGAGCTGCTCCAGCCCGCCGGGGTCAGGGCTGGGGTCCCACCAGGGCTGCTCCAGCCCGCCTGCCGCGGCTGGGACCGGGGTCCCACTGGCCCAGTATGGCTGGAGCTGCAGCCGCTCCAGGCCCCTGCAGTCAAGGTCCCGCTGGCACACCCTGCCTCAGCCAGGGCTGCTCCAAGCAGCCCATCCCACCGCGGCCGAGCCTGGTCTCCCACTGGCCCAGTGCAGCTGAGGCCGCTCCAGCCTGCTGGGGTCCCACTGGCCTGGCAAGCTCCACTCCAGCCCACTGGGGTCCTGCTGGCCCAGCTGGGCCTGCTCCAGCCCGCCGTAGCCGGGACTCGGGTTCCCTGGCTCGGTGCAGTTGGATTTGAGGCTGCTCCAGCCCGCCGCAGCCAGGGTCCCGCCGGCCTGGCCGGTGCCGCTCCAGCCTGCCACGGCTGGAGTCCTGCTGGCCCATCCTGCTGCGGTGCCCCAGCCCACCTGGCCTGCTGGGGCTGGCGTCCTGTAAACGGTTACGGTCCCGGTTAATGGTAAGCCTAATGCTTACCAGTTAACCGTTTACATCCCTAGCTTGGACCCCCCACCACAGCAACTGGGGTGGGGAGGGTGGAAAAGGGGAGGTGAGTCCATTCTGGTGGGGCAATGGGTATTGCAGGGCTGCGCACACCCTGGGCAGTGCCCTGCAGCCCTGCTGAGCAGGAGGGAAGTGGCTCAGCTGCTAAGAGGAAAGGCCTAGTCTGAGGCCGAATGCTGTGGTTAACCCAGCATCATCTCAGTAAAAAGAACAGGAGTACTTGTGGCACCTTAGAGACTAACAAATTTATTTGAGCATAAGCTTTTGTGGGCTACAGCCCATTTCTTCGGTGTCTCTCTGCAACAGGAAGGCAAACTCACAGCCTCACTTGCCTGCTGTCTTGCAAAGCAACACCACCCGCTCCCTCCTTGCGTCCCAGTGAAGGAGCTGAAGGAAGGTTCCTCAGCGGCCTGGTGCCCTCCACAACTGGAGATGCGGCACATCTGGGCACTGGATCAGCCTGGAGCCATACACATCTGGGGCGGAGCTGAGTCCTGATGCAGCTTGCACTGACACCCTCCCTCCCCCGGTCTGTGCATGCTCCGAGTAGGGCATGTGGCTAGGGCTGAGACATCCACAGACACAGCTTTTCTGGCCCCTTCCTCCAGGTGCCTGGGTCGGCGCAGAGTTGTGCGTGGGGGGAACACCTCAGTGTCATGTTTCCACCTGCGCGGCCTCAGCCATCTCCATTCCTGGAAATGCCACCACACATGCTGCAGGAAAGATCAGGCCCAGCTGGGTCGCACCCCCTCCTCATAGCTGAGCCCTTGGAGCTGGGGGCTGCCCGTCCTGGTGCCAGGCACAGCTGTGGTCACACCTAGCTGTGCCCCCCACCCCCAGCAGCCGTGCACCACTGGGTACTGTGCACATCTGCAGCGGAGCTGGGGGAGGTGGCTCAGCAGCTAACGGCAGAGTCTGAGCTCTCACCCCGGCTTGTTGCTACTGTGGTGGGAGCCGCTGTTTGACCAAGACTCAGCTCAGCTTCTGGTGGAAATCCGGCCCCTTCATCCTGCTCAGCTGCCCCCCTCCCCCGCAGAGGAGAAGTGAGTTGGGGGAGGGCCGTGAGTCAGAGAGACCAGATATTTCTGTCTGTCACAGCACCGCTTCTCACAAACACCTGGATTGGGGCCGGGGAGCGAAATGGTGAATCTGATTCTCAACCCCCTCTCAAGTCAGCAAATACTGGATGGGAGTTGGTGCACCCTGGACGGGAAAGGCCTTGTGTTCCATTTCCCATCCCCCCGGAGTCACCCATTCCCTATCCTGGGGCTGGATTGGAGCCAAAGCCCCCTGGAGGGGAAAGGCCCCATGTCCATTCCCCACCCACCCTCACATGAAGGGTCGCTGTGCAGTGTGAGGCTGGATCCCATAAGGACCTGCTCCCATTGCACTGGGGGAGGGGCTGAGTGGACTCCAGTGTGTACCTGCTTCTGGCCATACGTATTACAGGGGCTCATTGCATGTTTGGTGCTTCTGAAAATCTCCCCATATCCCCCACTGGGAGATGCTGGGCGCTGAGCTTCCATAGGATTGATCCCCAGCACTTGATAGGATGGGCTGGGGCTTGTAAAGGGGGGTCAGGGTGTTAGGGGCCCAATTTCCACTGAAAGTCAATGGGATTTCGACACCTCATTCTGCAGAAGGCTTTGAACATCCCAGCCTGGCTGTGTGTGATAGCCATTATTTCAGGTAAAATGGGACCAGGTGGGGCATCCCCATGAGTACTGTGCAATTCTCTGATGACATATGTCCACTAGGGCAGGATGATGGGATGGGGCGGTACCTGGAACAATGTGAGGTTTGGGTGGGGGTATGGAGTGGGGATGGTACCTGCAGCAGTGTGAGATCACTGGGTGTAGGGTGATGGGATGGGAGCAGTACCTGTAGCAGTGTGAAGTCACTAGGGGCTGGGTGATATGGTGGGGGTGGTACCTACAGCAGTGTGAGGTCATAGGGGATGGGGTGGATGGGAAGGGGGTGGGTACCTGCAGCAGTGTGAGGTCAGTGGGGGTGGGGTAATGGGATAAGCGTGGTACCTGCTATAGTGTGAGGTCACTGGGGGGGGGGTGATGGGATGGGGGCGGTACCTGCAGCAACATGATGTCATTTTCATTTGTCTTGTCATTGTATTCTGGGTGGGGGATTCAGCGATGTACCCAGATCTTCTGAGTCCCCGGTTCATCTATTTCAATGTTGTGGTCCCCCAGCAGCTCACTGATGTTGCTGTGAAATACAAGGGGATGCAGGTGCAGCAGACAGTCCAATACTATGGATTCAATTCAGGGTTGTTAACCTTGTTAAAGTGGGTGTATGTAGACGCTGCCTTGGATTCAGGATGAATGTACAGAAGCCAGTGCCTCCCCCCCACTCCCCCTGAGCACTGGCTTCTGTACATTC